ATTGCTTCGTAAAACTTTCATATCGTGACACATCAGAAATAACAAAAGCGATATGTGGATTGTAACGTTATGAATGCGTCATAGACATGTTCGTAAATAACATCGCTCTAATCTAGGGTTCCCTTCATTAAAAGGCATCACGTACCGGTGTCTCCAAGTTTCCCGTGCAGTATCGAACAATCTGTCGTGCAATTACTATCTGCTGTGGTGTAACCATTGGAAGTTCGATCCACTCGTCCAACCCAGGTGTATTGCATACAAAATATACCTAAATATGGTTATTGATGTAGCGAATGACTATAAAAAAATGGAACTATAAAAACAAACGAGGGGCGCTGAATATTAATTTATTTCATTGTGACATCATTTTTTATATCATCCCGATAATGAAAAGTTTGTAAATGTGCACTTTTTTATTAAGGCCACTCCCAATTCTTTCGATAGGTATTTCTGGCAATCTCCATAGATTAAGCTTAGGTAGTGATGGAAAGGCAAGCTCCAATGGTTTCCCTTCTAACGTATGTTTGTACAGACTCTCCATTGTTTTAGCTGTTTCCTTCGTGTCTCCTTCTTTGACTTTTATTTCCGTTTCTTTCATCGCTGTTTCAATTTCGACTTCTTCTTCCTTTCTTCCAAATTCTTCCAATTGTACTTCAGATTTCTCTTGCTATTTTTAAAGAAAATATGATATTTCCAAAGGACTTTAAGATCCTACATAATAGTTTTCAAAGTGTTGATATGATTTGTTTCAAGTGAATGTGAATCATTATTTTTTCTTTTATACGTTGCATTATCCAAGAAAACGTAATTAAAAATTAAAAGATTAAAGTTCTCCTATATTTAATATATTTTAATACTAATACTTTTTTTACCTCTAATCTGCGAACAAGCTCATCCGTCTCAAGTTCAGCTTCCAGTACATAGTAATTTTTAGGTTTACCAAGTATTTTACCCCAAAATCTAAGATATCAGTTAACGATAGGAAAATGTAAATATTAAATGTACAACAGTGTACAACAGTGTGATATGGCGTATATCACACTTTTGAGAGTTTATAATGTATTTTAAAGCTGTTTAAATCGAATACCTAATATTTTTAAGCGGCATTGTCAATGCAAATTTTCGAATTGATAAATTAAGCAACATCACTTCGTGTCGTGGCAATCCTACACCCGTCTGCTCAAAGTAGAAGAAAAGTTTTAACATGTTGGGAAGTTTCTTTTCCTTATCGTCCTCGTCCCCGTCCTCCAGGCTTTCTTGTTTGCCTTCGTCAATCTGCTTTACAGGCTATGATTGCAAGAAAATTAAAGGGTAAGGGATACAAAACGGAGATTATAGTTTCGCCTCGTCACTTGCACGTTATTTATTTGAAAAAAACTTGTAATGTATCATGATTTCATTATCCGTTACTTGTCGGACCATACTTGAAAGAGTTTAATAAATCTCTTTGCATCGTCGTATTGTATAGGTGATATGTACAAATTTCGAAGATGATCTGTCTTAGATTTAAATCTTTCCTCCTTCAACTTTCTGCTATACTCCTCAAAAATATCAATAGCATTTTGTGGCCGTTCAGCTAGTATTTTTGCCAAAAGCTCGATTAAGTGGCCATATCTAAAGAAAATTGTCGTGAAAGTGAGTTAATAATAATTTTTGTTTATTCAGTATTATCTTCAATATTTTCTCTTTATTTTTATTTAAAATATTTCCAAGCTTGTATAAATAATAAAATATTAAATGTATCATTTTAGAATTAATGCAATATTATTACTTTTATCGCAAGCGTATTATCAAAGTTTCTCTTGCTGCGAAGTATAAATATATGAAATATATTGAAAAAAATACAAACATATCACACAAAGGGAATAGCAATTGCATAGCTGTTATCGCAGGAAATTCAGCGATGAGCGTACAAACTGTCACCCGATTCCACGCTGCGTTTCTGAAGAAATATCTTTGCGCGTCGAATATCGTGCTTCACGCTCGGAACATCGTTGGGGGGAGCTTCTTCCACGATATAAGAATATGCCATTCTTTCTTATTATGCTGTTTTTCACATTTCACTGCATAGTAGTTAGCTTGCAAAATTGCACGCAATGTCACATTGCCGGATACTCATTGTCAGTAATATTATCGCAGTAACGTAACCGCTATGCAAGCTTCGTCATCTCGTTTGGTAACTTATATCAACACCAACTGATTTTTTTTAATCGACGCTATTCATCCGTTTCTTCCGTTCATTGCCATCCTGCCTGCCGCGAAATCACTGCGATTGCTGTTACAAAAATATAAAATCTTATCTAGTGACCTAATTATTTCAACATACTACACTGTTAAAAATGCTTTTAATCAGCTTTGTTAAAAGTAGTTAGCTGAGATAAATATTGCCCACGCATTTCTATCGAACTTGTATCGTAAATTCATTTCCGATAGAAGATGTAAGACGCAAGCAATTAAATAAAAAAATTAAAATTATAACAAAGGAAGATTTTCGTTTCAAATATAATTATATTAAATTATTGAATATTTAACACCTATGCACACCTAGTACTAACTAGTACTAACAGCAAAATGAATATACCATGTATGATACATATACGATATATATAAAATTTTTAAAACGAGTTTAATATATTCTTTTATATATTCGTATTCTTTAATTATAAGCAGAGTTGGGAAAGTTGTTTTTTAAAAGTAACCGAGTCGTTACCGAGTCAAAAAAGTAATGAATTACTAATTCTGAATAGTAAGTCGTTATCGTTATCGTTATTTAAAAAGGAAGCTTAGTTGCTTTTTCTTTGCTTAACTTGCTTACTTTTTCCTTGCTTACTTTTTTAATTCTGAAGCGAGATCAGATTAAATAAAGAATAAATTTTTCTTATATTTTTTCTTAAACTATTAGTGTAAAAATAAAATAAAATTTTTTATTTTAAATTCGCGAGACTAAACAATTTAAGAAGATTTTAAAATACTCAAAATGCAAAATACAAAAGACGTAGTTTTCATTATTCATTCATAAACATAGCAAATTTATACTTTCTATTCTTCAATTCTTTGTTTACAAATTTTTAAAAGGCGCTATTTATAAAATGGTTTATGATAAACTATTCTTAAAACTACTCTTAAGACGAGTTTTAAATGTAACAATAGACTATAAATATATCGATTAAAGACGGAACATTGAATATAGAATTTATAGAAATTATGTTATGAATAAATTTAAAACATAAAAAGTAACTATTAAATTTGTTACCGTTACTGAAAAGTGTAACTACGTTATCGTTACAATTA